TATTATTATTAAGAATTTGGGGCGCTGGTTTTCCAAGAAACACAAAAGGACAGATCCTAGAAGATAATTACCTGCTCCTGGTTTGGTACTAATTCTGTGCTTCATAATTGAACTACAGTTGGACCCCTGTATCCACAAGATAGGTATCCACTGTTTCACTTACCTGCAATCTGAGAATATTAAAAGAAAAACAACTAGAAATATGTATTTTCATTATTTACTAGAACTGGCCACTGGAAGGAGCCAGAGAGCATGCTATGTATTCTTGTTAGAATACATAGCATGGTCTCTTGCTCTCCCTAGTGGCCAGTCCTGGTGATGGTGAAAATACTTTTAAATTTCTTACTTTTAAATTTCTTTTTTATCTATCTGTCTGTCTGTCTGTCTGTCTGTCTGTCTGTCTGTCTGTCTGTCTGTCTGTCTGTCTGTCTGTCTAATTTTTACCCTCCCTTTCTCCTTTTAAAGGACCCAAGGTGGTTTACATCATTAAAAGACAATATTTAAAGATAAGAACAATGAGTATAAAGAGGCAGCTTACATCATTAGAAGACAATATTAAAACAATAAGTATGCAATTGGTTAGAGAGATACTATTTCTGTATTACACTATCTTTTCTCATTGCTAAGCCATGTTCTCTGTTGCAAACTCCATATTTTTCCTCTTACTCACACAGAAAGAAGCACCCAATTTTGGCAATTATTCCATGAAGTTGCTAGTTCTTTCTGCTTCTTCTATCACATCCAGCTTTGCATTGCCGCCTCGAAATTGTACCAGCTCCCGAAAATTTTCCCTTAGGAATGGCAAGGGGTTCTGGTATCTGTAGTTCAGAAGGAGAGGAGGAGAGAGAATCTGTTGTCTAGGAAAAGAGTGGAGAGGTGTTTCAGAGCATTCACTTCCATGTTGTTATTGGTATCTTTCCTGTCTTTATTCATTCATTCCTGTTGCTTCTGAACCTAAAGGCAGATTATTTGCCTTCTCAAATTATGCTGCTTGCATAGTGGCAGTGTAAACTCCCAATAGGATCTTAGCCCACACAATCATCTACATTTACGCCATACTGAAAAGCCAAAATATTACAAGTTTTAAAAGCTGTAAAGGTTTTCTTGCTGATGCATACAGAAATATGAAAATTCTCACAATAAGAATATGCATAAAATGAAAACTATTCCTGAGCCCCTAAAGCATGCTGTTAAAGACACACAAAATCAATACAAAATACCGACACCCAATTAAGCCTTTCCAATGTCTAACTAAAGTCCATTGCTGATTTTCTATTGCCGTCTTGTTATCTTTTCTACTGCTTTAAGGAACTTCACCTGACACCTTTTTCAATCCGTGTCTCACACTCTTGCTTCTTCTTTGAAGATGTGTGTGATTTATGTCCCATATTTACACTCTGTGCCTTATTATCGTAATCCAAACAAACCTTTCTTATTCCACTGGGCAGCAAAGGGTTAGTAACGGCCGACAACTGGATTTAGCAGATTGGTATAGGAGCTGTTTTCAAACAATTCACATCAATGCCAGTAGATGGAGGTGCAACACAATGAAATGCAAACCTTCAAAAAAGTTTACACAACCAGTTTGTAACCTTGATCAGCTGGTCAGCGGTTTCCAGTCCACTTGGAAGTATTATGAAATGACTCATGGTAGCAATATTAAACCGTAGTTTTAAAACGTACTATACTTTCAGGGCTTTTTCCTTTTCTTCCCCCCCCCACCATAAAACACAAATTAGAAGTATTGACAGCCACATTTCACAATAAATGAAGTGCGAGTCACATGCCTAGTTGCATGACTGGCCTTTGACTAAGCACTTCAGTAATTATCACAGTCTAGTCCACTGGTTCTTAACCTTTGTTACTCAGATGTTTTTGGACTGCAACTCCCAGAAGCCTTCACCATCAGCTCTACTGGCTGAGGTTTCTGGGAGTTGCAGTTCAAAAACACCTGAGTAACAATGGTTAAGAACCACTGGTCTAGTCCAGTGGTTCTCAACCTTTGATACTCTCCTTCCCAAGGACAGACTTCTCATTTCGAAATACCTTGATTATGAATTGGAAGAAATTCTGACGGTCACCCCCTCCGCCTCCCTTGTTCATTCTTGCCTGCCTAAGCAAAACATTCATATAGCAATGCAAGTTGCAGAAAGCAAAATGGCTACAGTTAGGCTAAGATATATTTTATA